TTGGATATAACCGATTACGATTACAATTGAAGACCTTAGCTAAGTCAAAACCTTAGCAGCTAAAACATTCCTTGTTTAAAACAACTACACACGGCCAATGGCCGCTTGCTACTAAACGATTGGCAAAGATTGATTATCCCAAGGGCTAATTCACAGCCGGTTGACTTGAATAATCTAAGTTGGAACCTAGATGCCATAGCAAAAACCGCCTGTCATTCCAACTTAGAATTAAATCCTGAAAATTGAATCAGATGTGGTCAACAACCGTCTGACGTTCAAACCAGATATTTAGTGGACGATTTTCCGCTTGGGTTGGGGCAATCACCAAGCGCACATCCGTCCAAAGGCAAATAAGCCTGGTACATCCGGCAAACCGCATGTATTAGGTTACTAAGCAAAAATACGTGCATATTGAAGAATTGCAAAAATTGAAAAATTGAAGCAAAATTGGCAAAACCGACACTGTCGGTAAATCATATTATAAAAATTGACCAAAAGGCTGGGAGAGTAATTGTTAACCGGATCTACATCCGGGAAAAGAAGTTGAACAAATGCAAGAAATACACGGCACGCAGGCCGGAAGTACAGGCAGCTACCATAAGCTAATTACTGAGGGGGCGCATTCTTAGCAAGCGGAGTTGGGGCAGTGTTCACTTGGGCTTCAGCCTTATGGTGCTCTCCTTCCGCATTCTCCTCAGCATCATCATCATCCACCTTGCCGTCTACGAGCTCCCTCTTGACCCACTCTTGGAAAGACTCAAGTTCCGGCTCCCCTCCAGCCCTTGTTGAGAGAACAGCATCAGAGTATCTGTAAGCCAGGTCCCAGACGTTGTACTTAGCCTCCGGATACACCAGTTCCCAAGCCATCCTCATCCAGTCTTGCTCTTTCTTCTCAATGAGCCGATTCTGCTCAGCCTCTAGAGTGGCCTTGAAGTTGCTCTAAGAGGTGGCCTTCACCTTCTGCAGTTGCTCAACGTCTGCTTTGAGAGTGGCATTCTCCTACTTGGTCTCCTCCAAAGACTTCAGACCCGCCTTAGTATTTTTTAGCTCCAACTCAGCATTTTCGAGCTCTGCCTCCAAATTTGAGACCTTCAGATTAGCCTCATTGAGAGCAGCTTTGAGCTGCTTGATGGAGTCCTCCTATGACAAGAGCTCAGCTTTAGTCTCAAGATCATGAATTAGCATTTGATACTGAGCAACGTCAGTGGTATCAGATGCATCTTTTTTGGCCCGCCTTACCTCCTCCTGCTTCCGAGCATACGACTTTTTGAGCCCCTCGACTCTCAGCATCGTCTGTGTATATGCAAACGGTGTTAGAAAAGCAGCCGGCAATGTACTTGGAAAAATGTGAGAAAAGCTATCTTACCTCCAATAGACTGTCAGCTGCATAAGCGGAAAATGTGAGAAAAGCTATCTTACCTCCAATAGACAAAACCAGATATATGGTGAGAAAGCTACATAAGCACCTCCAATAGACTGTCAGCTGCCTGAAGATCCCTCTGATTGAAACTGAGAATGTGATTTGACCCGCATGGGCCAACCCAGCTTAAAGGGAGAGGCGAAGGGGTCAGCCGTACCTTGAGGATAAGGTTGTGGGTCAATATTGCCTACAACCGCTACAGAACCCCTGCAGCTTTGGGTGGCTGGCCACCCTTCGGCGCCTCAGGGGCATCCGGCTGGGAAGAAAGGTCTATCCCCACTTTAACATTCTAGAGACTTTTTCCCCCAACAGTCAGACGGGTCTTCTCAAGCGAAAGCCTCGAAGCCGTCTGAGTAGAAGTTTTCCTAGACTTGTTGAAGATGGAGACCTCCTCACCCGGCCTCGGTCTGATTAACTCGGAGAAGGATCTAGGAGCCGCCTTGTCTCCATCCTGAAACGAACTAGATATTAAGCATACAGTCGGAGCCAGGCTTTAACCATACAGCTGGTTACAAACCGTCTGTATAAACAAATAAGGAAATGGGAAAGAAATAGGGGCAGGCGGGTTATACCTGGCCTTTAGCCGCTAGTGCGGCCTTCTTCTACTCCGCATTCTCCTTGCGGATGTCTGCTGCTGAGCGAGCAGGCGTTTTGTCATCTAGAAGCATCCTTCTGCCGGTTTCTGCAAAAGAAAACCGTCTGTCAGATTATCAAACAAGAAAATTACGAGTTAAAAACAATACAAACAACATAATATTGCCGGATGCATGATCTACATACGTCTGTCAATTCGTGTGCTCAAACCACTGGCGGACAAGTACCCCTCATCTCTCAGAAACTCATGCTTGGGTACCCAGTTCTTGGGTACACTGATTAGTTCCCCGGATGAGAGAGTGGTGGTTGTCAGTTCAAAAAACCCTAACTCTATTATTTTTTCATATTCCTCATCCGGGACTTGTGGAAGCTTGCATTTCTTCCCCAATAGATTCGACTTCTTGTTATAAGTACGAAATTCAAAGTTCTCTCGCCGCTTGGGGGCTGAAACCAAATAAAACCGGTTCTTCCAATCAGACCACTTAGACGGTTTGTCTAGGGTCATTAAGTAGTTGGGATAGGTGGTTAAGGTGTACCACGCTCTCCAGCCGCCTAGGCTACGGCTCAGATAGTGCATGTGAGCAAAAGCCTCCCAGCCGGGATGGAGACCCTGCATCTCACAGGCGGCGATATAACTCAAAATGGCAAAATGTTAACCCAAGAATTTGGGGTTAATTGCCACACTCCCAGGCCGTATCCTCGTAGGATAGCCCTAACGGCATCATGGAGGGGGAAGCGGAGATCGGCTAGGAAAGCTGCCTCATAGCAGCCAAAATAATTGTTGGCATTCCGCTGGTCATCTCCCCAGGCAATGGTTCCTAATTCAGGCGGCACCCGGATGGCATATCCCTCGCCTAAAGGACGTTTAGATGTAAAGACCTCGAGGTGCTTTGTCATGTTTGCCCTGTCTCTGGCAGAAACATGGATCCGTAATGGATCCCCCTCATTGCTCCAGTTTACCCGTTCCTCTGCCTCACTATCCTCAACTAGTGATAGTGAGCTGCTGTTCTCTTCAGAGCTAGACCTAGAGGCGGACCCACTCCCGTCTCTCTCAGCGGCAACCTCATCCGCCTCCTCAGCACCAGATGCAGAGGCGGCTTCTTCACCGTCTCCATTTTCAGATTCAAGGATCTCATCATTAGGAGTGCTGGGTGCACCAGGAGGGGATCCTCTTGCCTCTTCAACCTGTTCTAACTCAGGCGGCACACCTTCTGCGCTTTCTTCCCTATACTCTGGATCTACAGCCGTCTTTCTAGTCCGAGCCATAGTGTCTTGCACAGACACGAAGACGGTCGGATTTGGGGATGAACAAGAGTCACTACTAGAAATAGGCTGAATTCCGAGGGACTTTTTCCGACGGACCCAATTTTCGTCGGAAATTTTGAATTTTCCGACGGAATTTCGATTTGTCGGAAAATTTCTGACGGAATTCTTTTTCCTCGGAAACTAATATTTCCGACGGAAATTTCCACCGGAAAAATATTTCCGACGGAAATTTCCGTCGGAAAATAAATTTCCGAGGAAATAAATTCCGTTAGAAGTGTTTTAAAAAAGTCAAACAATTTCCCAAGTCCTTCCGTCGGAATTTCTTTTCCGGCGGAAAATTCTGTCGGAAAGTCTTTTCCGAGGTAAATAATTTTCGTCGGAAGTTTTTTAATTCAAATCGTGTTTCAGATCCAGAAATCCGCCATTTGAGTCTGAAACAGAAAAATAGAGAGAGAGAAAGAGGAAGAGAGAAAGAGGAAGAGATAAAGAGAAAGAGAGGGAAGTGCCCTGCTGCTCGCCGCCACAGTAATTCGCATTTCCCCCTTTTTTTTCATGAAACCCTAAGCTGCACTTCCCTCAAATGCGCAGCCACCACTGGGAAGCCGACGCACCCCCCTTCCACCAGGACCACCTCCACTACCACCGCAAGCCGGATTTCGGTAAGTTTTATGTGGCATTTATTTCGTTTTGTTTTTTTTTTTTTTATTTTGTTAATAACCGCCCCCCTCCTTCCACCAGGACCACCACCCTCCCGCCGACCTCCGACCAGAACCACCATTTCTGTCGTGCTGTGCCGTCGTCGTCTTGCTTAATTTCGGTTAGTGTTCCTCAATTTTTTTTTTTTTGGGTGTATAAAAATTGCAATGTTCAAGTTAGTTTAGTTTAGTTTAATTTAGTTTACTTAAGTTAGTTTTAATATAATAATGTAGTTTAGTTTTAAAAGTTGTGCATAAAAATTTTAATATAATATTTGAAATGAATGTGTTGTAGTATGATTTGTTAGTTTAGTTTAGTTTAGTTTATTTAAGTTTAGTTGTTAATTGTTGTATTATAATATGTTAGTTTAGTTTGGTTTATTTTAATATAATAATGTATGTTAGTTTAGATTAGTTTAATATAGTGTATGTTAGTTTAATAATTTTGTTTGGTATAATGTACAATATAATATTTAATAATTGTGCTCATTGTTAAACTAGTTCAATTTAATTATGATATAAATTTGTTTAGTATAATTCATGTGTCCTTTACTTTATATATTTTGTACATGAATCATTTGCATAATCATATGCCTAGATACCCGTTCAAGGCATACACATTAGGAGTATGTCTTGAATAGTCCCCGGTTGGGACTGTCCTTGTACGCTATTTCTAACTTAGGTGGTGAATGTATGCCTTGTTATTGATTCTAGGGAATATCCTGCCCTGTCATTTCTCTACAATGTTCTCTAGGTACATATGAAGGTGTGTTTATTCGCCTACATCGTGTACTTGGAGAACTGCAGGGAAATGCTGGCGGATTTTCCATAGAATTGAAAACCTGGCTTACATTCACTAGTGAGATTAAACGTACAAGGATGGGTTAGGTTGGAGTGATAAGGACCTTTGGAAGCATTTCAAATCTCATTGCATTTCCATAACACTTTGGTGGAAAATGACTAGGAAATATGCTTTATGACTAACGTGATTATACATATGCGTGAGTTGTGTAGAAGTTGTAATCATGAAACGAACAGAACGTAGTTGGATGTATGAAAGGAGGGTTGGGCAAAGTATTAATCCAGAGTTCGTGAAAGGGGTTGATGAATTCATTCAATACGTCAAAGATAATCACGAGAGTAGTAACCCGAACGAAGTTAGGTGTCCATGTGCTAAATGTAAGAACAAACGACTTTGGGATCCAGAAACGGTAAAAATTCCTCTGTTTCGCACGGGTTTTATACCTAATTACTATGAGTGGATGTGTCACGGGGAAAGGTTTCCGAGAGTTCCTGAACGGCGGTCCAACGAATACCGTGACATGGTTTTCGATGCTTTTCGTCATAGTCAGGATCAAGGGCATTCAGAGCAAGCTAGTGTTTCATCAGAGGAGGAGCCTAATGCACAAGCTAAGCATTTTTTGGATTTGTTGAAGGCTTCTGAACGGCCATTATACGAAGGGAGTTCGTTGTCTATGCTAGAGATGGCCGCTAGAATCACTAGTCTAAAGTGCGAGTATAACTTGCCCCACAGATGTGTTGATGGGTTTGTTTCTTTGCTCAGTGAAGCAATTCCTAACAAAAACCATATGGCCGACACATTCTATGAGGTGAAGAAGATTGTGAAGGGCTTGGAACTGCCTCATGAAAGGATTCACGCATGCCCGAAAGGATGTATGTTGTTTTGGAAGGCTGATGCTCAGCTGTCGACATGTAGGGTGTGCGGCAGCGACCGATACAAGCAGACTTCCAAGGGTAGTGACATGCCTTTGAACGTTTTGTTTTACTTCCCGATCACACCCAGGTTGCAAAGGCTCTTTACAACCAAGAACATTTCGGAGGAAATGACATGGCATTCCAAAAATCCCCGAGTTCAAGGCACAATGCACACCTTAATGATAGTGAAGCTTGGAAACACCTCGACAGTTGCTTTCCAGAGTTTGCCTCCGAGCCTCATAATGTTCGGCTTGGCTTGTGTACAGATGGTTTTGCTCCTCATGGCAAGTTTGGGGGACAATATTCTTGTTAGCCTGTCATTTTGACCCCTTACAACCTGCCTCCTTCAATGTGTATGAAAATACAATTTATGTTCCTTTCGTTGCTCGTTCCTGGTCCTAAAAACCCTAAGGGCAACTTGGATGTGTACATGCAACCGTTGATTGAGGAGTTGAAATAGTTATGGGAAGTAGGCGCGCATACGTACGATATAGCAATGAAACAGAATTTCACTCTTCGAGCAGCCATCCTATGGACTATTAGTGACTTCCCAGCTTATGGTATACTGTCCGGTTGGGCCACATCTGGTAAAAAGGCTTGTCCATATCGCATGGAGAAAAGTAAAGCATTCTGGCTCGAACATGGTTGTAAGGTTTCTTGGTTTGATTGCCACCGCCAGTTCCTTTCGACTGATCACCCATTTCGGAATAGTAGGACTGCATTCTGCAAAAACAAAGTCGAAAAGGGTGCACCTCCACACATTATGTCAGGGGAGGAGTTGTGGGAATGTGTGAAAGATCTTCCGAAGGCTACAGATGGGCCCGAGTCACTTCAACGCCTCAAAAAAGAAAAGAAGGGGTGGTTCAAGCAAAGCATCCTGTGGGAGCTTCCGTATTGGAAGCATCTGCGTATTTGTCACAACTTAGATGTCATGCATATTGAAAAGAACTTCTTTGATCAGTTAATTCACACTATAATGGATGTGAAAAAGCATACGTGTGACACGACATCTGCTCGAAATGACATTGCCAGATATTGTAAACGTCCGCAGCTTCATCTTCAGGAGGATGACAGAGGAAAAGAGGTCATGCCTAGGGCTCCATTCGCTCTTGACAAGGCTCAGAGGAAAATTTTGTGTGAGTGGGTAAAAGAGCTGCGATTTCTCGATGGTTATGCCTCTAATCTGAGCAGATGCGTAGACATGCAAGCATGTAAGCTACACGGAATGAAAAGCCATTACTGTCACGTGTTCATGGAGAGGTTGTTGCCAACTGCTCTGAGGGAATTGCTCCCAAGCCATATTTGGAATGCAATAACAGAGATCAGACAATTCTTTCGCGATTTGTGTTGCTATACAACATCAGTTGGTGACATGGAGCGATTGGAGAAAAACATAGCTGAGATTCTGTGCAAGCTTGAGAAGGTCTTCCCCCTGCATTCTTTAACTCCATGGAGCATTTACCTATTCATTTGCCATATGAGGGGAATTTATGTGGTTCTGTTCAGTATAGATGGATGTATCCCTTCGAAAGGTAAATCAAACACCCATGCACATCCTATTTCTTACATCAGATTCAATGTCATGTCGTGTTTATACAATTACATAACTATGATTGTAGGTTCCTCAATCATTTGAAACGAAAAATTGGAAACAAGGCTCGAGTTGAAGGATCCATTTGCAATGCTTATATCACCGAAGAGATAGCAAACTTCTGCAGTAACTACTTTGAGGCGACGGTTGACACTACAACACGAGATCTCGGTCGTAATGTGAATGCCGACGTGGACTCCATAGTGGACGACTCTGAAATTCCAGAGTTGTTCACGGAGGATAGCGGTCGTGTGTCTAATGAGGGAAAAACTTGGTTTTTAGATGAAAAAGAACTCGAGTGCGCTCATTTGTTCGTGTTACGGAACACCGGGATTCTTGGTGAATACGAAAGGTAGAAAATGTTGGTCTTTGAACTGTGTTCAAAGTTGTGAACAACTTAAATGATAACAATGTTGATTTACTTTTTTTTTTGGCCTTGTAGGAAGTTCAAGGACTACATTCTTAGTAGTCGACCTTATCTGCGTAGAGAAGAAGTAATGGAGAAATGCAAAGCTGAATTCTCCGATTGGTTTCATCGCAAGGTGATATAAATTGTCTAAATATGACATACATTATGATTTAATATTCCTTGCTATTCAATTTACTCAATTAGGGAATTGTGACTGTTATATTCTAAACGTGGATAGGTTGTTGAGGAGGACACAAATTCTGATGTGCTGCGAGCGTTGTGCATGCGCTCTTTCAAGCGTGTTCGAACTTGGAAGCAGATTTTTGTCGGTGGCTTTAATTTCCATACACATGCCCATGGCAAGCACAAATCTACGATGAATTATGGCGTGTGCGTATCAAGTGAGGATGGTGGAGAGTACTTCGGCATTCTAGACGACATTATTGAACTGGTTACACTGGTCCCGAAAAAGAGTACAAGACTATTTTATTTAAGTGTAGTTGGATGGATTGTGGTAGGGGAATGAACATACATGAACTGTACAAGCTTGTCGAAGTGAATCATACTAAGAAATACCCCAAGTATGATCCCTTTGTTTTATCTTACCAAGTGACTCAAGTGTACTATGCATCATACCCTAGCCTGAAACGGGATCGAGTTCAATGGTGGGCTGTGTTTAAAACACAAGCAAGGTCAGTGGTGGATGCTCCGGTGGACTTAGAGTTTTTGCAGGCACCATCTCCACAAGTACATGCAACGCTTTGCCCGCCGAATGATATTCCAGACTATGTCGTGGATGACGATGATGACATTGGTTTTATTGTCTCAAGCGATGAAGATGATGAATTTAGCATCAACTCTAGTGATAGTGACGAGGATGATGATATCGATGTATTATTAGATGATAGTAGTGATGATTCCAGTAGTGATAGTAGTGATGACATTAATGAATAGGAGGATATGTTACTTTCCTTCTTTCAATTTGGTTGTTATTGTAAAATAGACAATGGTCTTTTAATAAATCATTACTTTTACGCTGAAATTTTATTTCATTGTATTACACTTGTAACTTTTAATATGATGTCATGTTATTAACAACTATTTCAGGTGAACACGGCTAGCGGTACAGACAAAGGTAAACGGGCAATGGAGCCCGACTACTCGGATGAGGACATGGCGGATGTGGATGCACATGATTTGGGTACTACTCAGGTACGTATGCTCTCTATATTGATTATATCTTTATTTGTGTTAAGCCTTATTTCAGCCTTAGTCCAATCTGTACATTTATGCACCAATATTTCAAGCTTGTTCCTAATTAGCTAATGTTTAATAATGATACTCAGGTGCCCACTTCCAGCTCACCACGAGATCAGACGCAGGAGCATTCTACGAAGCCGGTTTTAGACCCTACTGTGCTCTGGTACGTACATACATTCAATGAATTGGTTTTATATACTTAATGTTATTACCTGTTAACGAGTTTTATACAACTTTTTTGATGGTGTTCATCTAACCCTGTTGTTTAAATGTAGGTTTGACGACAACAAGGTGAGGAGTGCGGTATCCGGGGCGCTGACCGGGTACTACCGCGAGCCTTGGCGGAATTACGGAGAGGTGGATGAAGCAACGAAACAACACTGGTGGAGCCTATTCAGCGTAAGCTATTTCAAACTTAGTTAACACGTTTTATGAAAAGTATGAGATAATGAAGTTGCGTATATGACTAACCAAGTTCATCATTTGTAGAAAGAATTCACCTGGGCACCTGAGCTGACCCAGGATGTAAAGAAAACTTTTGAAAAGAAGTTTGCTACTCGGCTGCGTGACATGTTCTACACAGTCACGCACAAGATGAGAGGCGCCAAGCCAGGGTGGCTAAATGAGGACGTCCACAAGAAAATGATGGAAGTTGTTTCCAGTGATCCAACTTTCAAGAAGCGATCGGCCCAAAACAGGAAGAACAGGAGGGGCGGCTCAATGGAAAATCCGGTTAAAGCTACCCACTATCAAGGGTCGATATCTGCTGTACAACATGCAAAACGGATGGTAAGTTTGTTGAAAAGGCAGATAAAATAAAATAGAATTGTGTATTACTGTGTGTAAAGGTGCTTTAACATTGAATCTTAATCATTTTCTGCATGTTCAACCAAAGGCGGCGAAGAACAAAGGCTAGCTCCTGACATCTCTTGAGCTATTTTTGATGACGCACTTCAAGGAAGTGCCCGGGAAAGGCACAGTTCCAGCCAACACCAAAGCACAGCAAATTGCGGTAATAACTTCAATTACACTTTGGATTTGAACTTGTTTGATTTTTTATGTGAATTCAATGCATGTACACCTAGAAGGGCCTATAATAGACATGTTATGAGAAAGAAATGGTTCATTTGGTTAGAAATGTAGGAAATAGGCAAGGAATAGGTCGTATAGGTCTCAGTTGGTCCTATTTCGGTCCAAATCGTTCCCAAAGCTTGGTTCTATGATTGTTTTTGTGTTTTCAATGCATTTACACCTACAACTACCTATAATAGACATGTTAAGAGAAAGAAATGGTTCATTTGTAATAAATGTAGGAAATAGGCAAGGAATAGGTCACATAGGCCTCAGTTGGTCCTATTTCGGTCCATTTCGTTCCCAAAACTTGGTTCTATGATTGTTTTTGTGTTTTCAATGCATGTACACCTAAAACTACCTATAATAGACATGTTATGAGAAAGAAATGGTTCATTTGGTAAGAAATGTAGGAAATAGGCGAGGAATAGGTCGTATAGGCCTCAGTTGGTCCTATTTCGGTCCAATTCGTTCCCAAAACTTGGTTCTATGATTGTTTTTGTGTTTTCAATGCATGTACACCTAGAACTACCTATAATAGACATGTTATGAGAAAGAAATGGTTCATTTGGTTAGAAATGTAGGAAATAGGCAAGGAATAGGTCGTATAGGCCTCAGTTGGTCCTATTTCGGTCCAATTCGTTCCCAAAACTTGGTTCTATGATTGTTTTTGTGAATTCAATGCATGTACACCTAGAACTACCTATAATAGACATGTAATGAGAAAGAAATGTTTCATTTGGTAAGAAATGTAGGAAATAGTCAAGGAATAGGTCGTATAGGCATTACTTGGTTCTATTTTGTTCAGAAAGCAGAATTTAACTTACATCTTTGTGCACCTTTTCAAATGTGTATTTTTTAGGAGGCTTTGCCGAAGAAATCCGAAGAAGCAAGCACCCAAGGGATTCAGAAGACTCCAAATGAGCTGTATTGGGAAACTGTAAGTGGTCGCAACAAGAAGGGTCGTGTGAAGGGACTTGGCGAAGGTTCTGAGCTGTATTATGCCAACAGGAAGGGTACAGGTTCCAAGTCTTCCGAGCATTGCACGCCTTCCCTTCTTTCCCAGATGTAGGATCAGGTGGAGTAGAGGGTGGAGCAAAGGGTGCAAGCTAGGCTCAGTAAAATAGAACTCGAGATGGAGGCTCGATTGGCTGAAATAGAAAGGAAAAACCAAGAGAGGCTTGAAGAGATGATGCGTCGATTCTCTAACACCTACCAATGTTCCAACATTCCGCATTAGCCTCGAGACCCCGACCCGGATAGCAACGGTGCAAGGCAAGGTACTCCGGCTGTAGCTTAGGATTTGTTTATATTGTATGTAGATGTATTTAGATTATGTTGTATAGTAGGACACTAGGACCCAATGTATACATTATTACAAATTAATATATAAAAATATTTGGGTAATTAAAGTATAAATTCAAATTTATTTTAAATTAGGTGCAGGATTAGGTGCAGGATTCATAGGTTACGAAATACAAATTAAATCGTTCAATTTGTAAAATAAAACAGGATTAATTCCGACGGAAAAAGCATACTTTCCGACGGAATATTCCGTCGGAAGAGTTAACCTTCCGTCGCAATATTCCGTCGGAAGATTAAAGTTCCGACGGAGAATTCCGTCGGAAGGTTAACTCTTCCGACAGAATATTCCGTCGGAAGGTCAACTCTTCCGACGGAATATTTCGTCGGAAAGTTATGTTTCCGACGGAATATTCCGTCGGAAATTGACCTGTTCCGACGGAATATTTCGTCGGAGGTTAACTGTTCCGACGAATTATTCCGAGGAAAAATCCGTCGGAAATTTGCGACGGATTGACGTTGAAAGTCAAATCCTTCTACAACGGAATTAATGCCGTCGAAAATTCCGTCGGAATAGTGTGTTCCGACGGAATTTCCCTCGAAATACCCCAAATTTCCTACGAAGTGTTTTGCGACAGATTGGTTCTGACGGAATTCCGTCGGAAAGGTGCTTTCCGACGGATTTTGCGCTGATTCCAACGGAAAAATTCCGTCGGAAATCAGCTGTTTTCTTGTAGTGAGTGATCCAGGCACCCAGAGGCGGCACCCCCAGTCCTAGACTCAGCCGTACCAGGGGACCGGCTGCATCCTAAACTAGGTTGTGCCGTGTGTGCTGTTGGTGAATCCATTTATGGAATGATATGTACACAAACGGAAAAATATGAAAGAGCTGAGAAGGGGAGAGACGGTACCTCTAAGATGACCTGAAATATAGTCAAGTGTTGACCAACTTTTACTAGCAGGCAGAAATCGGGAAATTGCTTGCAAGACGCACAGGCGGTTAATCCGATGTACCCCTTTGAAAGAGAAGAGTTGCTTGGAGAGTACCTAGGCGGTCCTCTGAAGTTCTCCTGTCTGTTAAAGGCACATACGTTATACCGGCTGTAACCCCTTGGAAAGCTAGAGGATTATCTGAAAGATGTTCAGGTGGTCTAGATGATCCCCCGTTTGTGGAATATGTAGACGGTAGCCCGGTTGTGTCTAACAGAAAAGAAGGCAATCGCTTGAAGGATACACAGGGTTGTTAGACGTATTTTCTCAAAAAACAGTTGACTCTTTCTAAATTTTGGAAATGACCAAAAATGGGAAGGGTAAAAGCTTATTTATAGGAGTGGTAATTTTAGGGGTGTTCCTGTCATTTTCCTAGAAGGTGAACAGTTAAAACTGTTCACCAATGTCTCAGTGACAAGTGTCACAGGTGCCGCGTGGCACACCACGTCACACTTGTGAGGGGCAAATGTTTTGGGTAAAAATACACATGACGCGTGGCCCAATAAAATGGTGACATGTGTCACCCTAAGAGAGGTTCAGAATGAACCAATCATCTGTTGACACGTGGCATTCCCAATCATTGGGAAAAAGACGGTCTTCTTGGCCCAATTCCCGAGATACCCCATCATTCCTAGGTTTCCGTAACCTAGGATGACGGCGCACATCCCAAGATCCCTTAAATAGGGAGATGTTCCCAACTGGGGACACATTCACATTCATTCAGAAATATTCACAAAAACCAGAGCAATCATCAATTGCAGATAATTAATACTCCTGATCTCGGAATCCGAGAGGATACTTTACTTTCCGCACTTTTCCTTTCGTTCGTACACGTTCTAACTTGATCGTCGAAGGCGGAACTCCACCCAACCGGAGTCTCCGTTGTTTTGCAGGTACAGGCGCCCGAAATCCAGTCTTGGAATTATAATTCTCCTGAGGGACACGGAAAACCCCAAAACAGCAGCCATAGCTAGTGTACCCTGTTTTAGTGTATTGCTAGGTTAGAACCCGTGCGATGCACCGTTACATAAATTTTATTTTTATAATTTTAGATTTTCATCAAAATTATGATATAATACCTGTTCAACATTGCCTAATACATATTTCAATGTAGGAGTCCATTTATTAGTGTCCTATTTATAATTGTTTCATTTTTATAGTATAAATTGATAGGCTAAAATTTTAATGTAGAAGCTTCTAATATTCAAATTTCAAAATTGTTAAATATGGTAGCTCCAAAAAAAAAAAAAAAAAAGAAGATGACATCATCCTTGCATTTAGGCGCGGATTTTTTTTTTGTGAGAGTGACATGAGGACAGTGATGACGTCAGCAACATTTTGTATTAGTAATAGTTAATAGACTAGATTATCCTCGTGCGATGCACGATTTTAACAAAAAAAATTATAGTGTAGGACTCGTATATACAATGAATCTTTCAATTTTGTCATAAATTCATTGGAAGGAAATAGTTGCTATTCAATTTACTTTACCCCGGTTTTCTAGATTAAAGTTGTTGAAAGAATTTATTTAGCTTATTTACGATGTATCTCACACACACACACACACACAGAAAAAATCCTTTAAAAAAAAGTATCACAAAAAATGACATTATCAATGGTTTTAGGCGGGAATTTTTTTTATAAGAAAGCGATACGTATACAGTTTTGAGAAGAGATGATGTCAGCAATGTTTAGTTTCAGTAATAGTTAATAGATACAGGTAGATACTTCATCCGTTCTTTTTTACTTGACCCGCTTTGACTTTTACACTATTTATGATATCTCCTTTGACCGTCTTTTGTGAATAATATGTAATGAAAAACATATTCATGTGAAATATTTATGAATTTGTCTCGATAAGTACTATTATAATATATAACTTTTATAATTTTTTAATTAAAGTTATTGATAGTTAAAGCTTTGCATTGATAAGCGTGATAAAAGAAACAAGTTAAGTTAAAAAGAACGGAAGAAGTAGATAGATAGATAGATAGATAGATAGATATTTCCCTTATGAACAATGCCGTTCCATTTTTACCCTAAAGAATCCAATTACTGTCTTGCCCTTTCTGCCATCTTTATGTACAAATATTTCCCTTCTTTTCTACTCATCCTAATATCTACACCCCCTCTCTCTGTCTCTCTCCTCTATTGAAGCGACATATACTTCCAAGTTTTCCATTAATGCGCACTCCGAGCTTTCTTTCCTCCATTCAAGTTGAGGTGAGCTATATGTTCTTCTTCATAATCATCGAAGTTCAATTTGAATCGACAATATATCTAGGGTTTCATCGTTATTTTTCACTTTATTGACAGTATACAATTTAGGGTTCTTAGTGAATTTTGATTTTAAATCTCAATTCGTTTGAATTTCTGATAAATTTATAATTTCCTTGTAAATTTGCTAATCTAAGCTTAAATGTCTCGAAAATCCCGACCGACGTTTCTTATTCTTCAGTTCCTTGCTACTCAGATCACTACTTTTCTTTGGTTGTTTTGAGTTTGCTTTTTATCTTGATTTTGTATTTTTATTAAGAATTGATAATGTAATTGATTGTGTTTTTGATTGTTTGATTTAGAGCTTATAATTAATTATCGATTTTACGAATTACTTCATTTGAGTACACTCTCTTTTATCTCTCGGAGAAGAAAAGGAACTTAATTGTTTGGACGCAGTATTGCATTATTATTACTTTGTTAGGTTGAATATTAAAGTTGATACTTAGATTGTTGCAATTATTCTCAGTGATCCACTATTTTTAGAACTATCAATCATGGTGGTATATTTTAGGATTATTTGTTATTAACTACCTACGGAGTAGTTTATAAATAACTACCCTTTTTCAAAATATATATATATATATATATATATATATATATATATATATATATATATATATATATATATATATATATATATATATATATATATATATATATATTTATGGGTGTTGTTATTCGTCGTTCCCATTTTACCGGCCGTCGCTCGCATTTTGGACTTGAATTTCCTAAATTGCCCCTTGGTTATAAATAGTCACGAGACTCACGAACTACACATTTCACACTTGAATTTTCTCTATCTAAAATCTGTAATCTCTCTAAAATCAGATTGTTTTTCGAAAATCAGATTTTGAAAATTCATAGCAAAATCTGAAAAAAAAAAAATTGTAATAATCTCTAAAAAAAAAAACCGAAAACAACCACATCTTAAATCTGAAATCTGTTTCTAAAATCAGTTTTTTTCAAAAACCAGATTTTGAAAATTTATAGCAAAATCTGAAAAAAAAAATTGTAATATTCTCCAAAAAAAAAAAAAAAAACCGAAAACAACCACAATCCCAAGGGACTTGCAATGGCTGACCAGCGGCGGATAAGGGTGACGTATGGTGGTCGTGGCGGCGGTGGAGTCTCCGGCGAACAGGTAACGAAGAACGAAAAAAAAAATCTGGAAAAATTTGGGACATCTGCCTGGAAAATCCGGATGTCCCTAGAACATTTGGATTTTTCAGGCGGATCTTTAGAGATCCGCTTGAAAAATCCGGATGTTCTAGGGACATCCGGATTTTCCAGGCGGATGTCCCAAATTTTTCCAGAATTATTTTTTTTTCGTGTTTTTTTTTTCTCGTTCTTATGTAATTATGTTAATCCTTTTCCAGATTTTTTTTTTCCAGTTTTGTTTTTTTTCGTTCTTATTTAATTTTATTTCTCATTTTTCCAAATTTTTTTTTTGTTTTTCCAGTATTTTCCAGTTAATTTTTTTTCCAGTTTTTTTTTCCAGATTTTTTTTTCCTGTTATTTTGGTTGTTGTTATTGTTGTTGTCGTTGTTGTTGTTGTTGTTGAAGTCGTCGTTGTTGTTGTTGTTGTTGTTGTTGTTGTTGTTGTTGTCGTCGTTGTTGTTGTTGTTGAAGTCCTTGTTGTTGTTGTTGAAGTAGTAGTTGTTGTTGAAGTTGTTGATGTTGTTGTTGAAGTTGTTGTTGTTGAATTTGTTGTTGTTGTTGTCGTTGTTGAAGTTGTTGTTGTTGAAGTTGTTGTTGTTGTTGTCGTTGTTATTGTCGTCGTCGTCGTTGTTGTAATTATAATGTTATTGTAATTTTTATCTTTTTTTTTTTTGTGAGGTTTTTTTTTTGTTTGTGTACTTTATTTATCTTTGTTAATTCTTTTTTATTTGTTTGTGATGTTTTTTTTATTGATTTTTTTTATCCTTTTGTTTTTATTTTTGTGAGGTCTTATTTTTGTTCGTGTAATTTGTTTATGTTTGTTAATCTTTTTTTATTTGTTTGTGATGTTTTTGTTTATTGATTTTTTTTATCCTTTTGTTTTTATTTTTGTGAGGTTTTATTCTTGTTTGTGTAATTTGTTTATGTTTTTTAATTTTTTTTTATTTGTTTGTGATTTTTATTGATTTTTTTGTTTATGTTTTTTTGTTTGTTTTTGTGTTTTTGCTTGGGAAATTTTATTTTTGTTTATGATTTTTTTGATTTTCTACGTATTTAATATAGATTGAGGGTTCGGGAACTCGTCACGCTATATCTAGACGTTTGAACGCCTCAGTTAGGCGGGAGTCAGGCCGTTTAGGAAATACGGCCGAACCGTTTGATCACCAGCAGCAATATGGGTATGGTGGTAACTGGTCGGGGGAGCATCAGCCAGAACGCATCATCCCCATGTACTCGTCGGGTGGAGTGTCTTCACCTTCATCTGACGATGAGGACGACGAGGCAAGTCAGGCTTCCCGCGATGAAGAGTATGACCCTCGTTATTATCATACGGTGCATAGGGGTCAGACTGGGAGATTTGTCAGCAGTAGTCAAAACCAGTCAGCCTTCCACCAGCTCAGCAGATGCATGGGTAGTGCAGGAGGTGATGCCAGGAGGTCCTGAGGATGGGACCGTTATCCCTAGCTTTGGGGGGCACGTGGCTGCGTATATATGGGGCGGGCAGGAGCGTAATGTTTTGCGCTGGTTGAGCAGGACACAGTTGTGTTCTGAATCGGTCGCCTGGCGAGGTCGTCTTGCACAGAAGCATCTGGAGTTGATTGACAGTAGTGGTCTGTCTCACTTACCTGGGATCATGTTCAGGCGTTTTGACTGGCCTCTGATTTCAGCTTTTGTTGAGAGATGACAGCCAGATACGAACACGTTCCATATGCCATTTGGGGAGATCGAGATCATGTTGCATGATGTGTACCACATTCTAAGGCTTCGTGTAGATGGTCGCATGGTGTCCACTACTCCCAGCACGGACACCCTACGGGACGCATGCTCGATTACCATGGACTTGACTGCAGAGGAGCTGAATGAGAAGTGTTGTACCAAGACCATCTGGCAGGGTAGTGGGGTGTTGACGGAGAGGATTGCGGACTCGACCTTGGAGTCGCAGAGGCCTTTCAGTGTCCATTACAGTGCCTACCTGTGGTTAGTGCTGGGCGGATGTCTGTTTTTGGACAAGAGAAGTAACCGTACTCATCCGTCCTTCCTCAGCGAGCTTGTTGTGGATGATCTGCCGATCAATGAGTACTCTTGGGGTTCAGCTGTTCTAGCGTGTTTGTATCGGCAGTTGGGTACGGCATCTAGAAAAGATGTCGATTCTATCGTCGGTTGTCTCACACTTCTACAGGCGTGGATCTACGAGTATTTTCCGTGCTTCCGGCCTCAGCAGGGTACCTTGACTAGGGAGCTCAGTGTTCCGCGTGTCTCGGCTTGGGATGTGGGACCGGGATGCCCCAATAAGAGCATGGAGCGCCTCCTTGCATTTCGTGCTAGATTGGATCAGTGGACCGACAATGAGGTTAACTGGCTCCCATACGGAGTTGATCCGGCACGACGCGTGCCACCCACTTTATTTATTGGCTGCATCCAGTATCGGAGTATCATTGAGCCATACATGCCTGATCGAGTTGTTCGACAGCTGGGATTCGTGCAGGACATTCCGATGACCATTATCAGGCCTGAGAAGGCTAAGAGGCCGACGAACTTGAAGATGTATCGGGTAGAGTTTCCGACTGAGATGACATCAGTGATGTGGACTCGGTTTGTCCCTGGTTCGTCGTTCAGTGTTGTTCCCGGTGCCCTTACCCGACTCGGCGGTGGAGCTCCTACGGTCGGTCCTGGTTACATGCAGTGGCTCTATCGATTTTCTCATCCTCGTATTTCTCCGGGTGGGTCATCAGCTGGGGATAGACTTCCAGAGAGGACTAACACGGACTATGTAAGCACTTGTGTTTTATTTATACTTTAAATTCCATGTACGCTAATCGTGAATTATATAACTAATGTGTTGTTCTCTTATTTGTAGTGGATAGGTCGATCCATGGAGATTCACCGTAGGTCACTGGCGGAGTATCCCAGCATGACGCCTGACACGAGGGGGATGACTGAGCAGCTGATATTTTACTGGCAGACGAGGATGGGGCTGTGAACCACTTGTCTTTTTGTTTACTATTAGCTAGTTCATTTGAAACTTTGTATTGTAAATAAAAATAATATAATTGCGGGTTTTGTTTCAACTTTGTATCATTACTTTGATTGATTTCTTTATATTACATCCCTAGAACTGTTCAACCTAATTACATAAATTCGTTTTTCAACCTAATTACATAAATATGTTCAACCTAATTACATAAATCTGTTCAACCTAATTACATAAATCTGTTCAACCTAATTACATAAATTCATCTTTCAACCTAATTACATAAATCTGTTCAACCTAATTACATAAATCTGTTCAACCTAATTACATAAATTCGTCTTTTAACCTAATTACATAAATATGTTCAACCTAATTACATAAATCTGTTCAACCTAATTACATAAATCTGTTCAACCTAATTACATAAATATGTTCACTACCCAACTAATGCATCCCACATGTTTCTTCTAGCGATATATTGCTGATCCCATCCATCGCCACTTGGCTCGTGGTTCTCTGTCCACCATCCTGCGATCGGGGGAAGAGGTGAATTTTCGACTAGATCAATGCAGATGAAATGTGACCCCCCAATGTAGCGATTACAAATTCCCGGGTTGGTGCTCTGACCCCGTTTCGTGCCCGCAACGGTAAGATCGTGAGGCAAGGGTAATAGCAGGTCGGTACGTTACCTACACCAAGAATAATAACCATTGCGTTGAACCAAGTAGCAATAGGAAATAAATCTTGAATAGCAACCATCCAGTGCCGTGAATCAACAACCCCACCATCCCATCGAATGCGTTCCACATACAGCCACACCCTTCCTATCCCGTATATCCTTTCGTACAAGAAGGGGTGAGCGGCGACCTCATTCGCTAGTATTTCCCGAGCGTCATACCAGTTCGCTTGATCTCCGAGGAAGAAGTCGGCCACACAACGAAATCCACAGTTATCATCGCCAATGACATCCTTCCATGCCGTGATGTAAGGCAACATCGGTCCTGGGAGCAAGTGCAAATACCGGCATTGGCGGATGTCACCTTGATATTCTGCTCCTGCACAGTTTATGTTTTCGTTATGAGTACGCTAGGAGTTGAAATACGTGTAAATCACAAAATTAATAGCAAGCCGTACTTGTTTATTGCGCACCACGTTCAGTGTATCGACGGTCCACATGTTCGAAGTAACTGGGATGTCGTCTAGTATCGTTGTTCCTTCGGCGACCTCGAACGTTGTGATTCACTTATGGTTCTTCAAGGTTTGAATGATCCGGATGCAGCTCCTCCTCAATAATGCGAGATACATTTCGAAGTACAGCTGGATCACTACCAACGACCTCATCAACCAGGGAACGGAAATGTGCAGCATCCTCGTTAGAACCGTTAACGAACTCCGGTACATTAACACCATCGTCGATAACCAAGGTCTTCCAGAACGGATGAATTTGCCTTCTATACAAGCCTGTTTGCGCAACCAACGAGTCATGTATCTGGCAAGCGCATGGCAAACCGTGGGTCACACGCATTGCACATCCACAACGGTCATGCACCTGGTAACTCAGCTCCCTCATCCTTCTCGTCTCGTCATCTAGTACTTTTAGACAATGCTGAGACACCTTGCCGTTAATACGAGACAGTGGCAACTGTCTGTACTTCTTACCGATCTTCGACCTTGACGCCTCCAATGAATTACGAATGGCAATGATCTGGTTGCCAATATGACAATGTACTCGGGCCCATACGGTATCCAAAGAACCTGCCATTGAAGTTAATTATAAAAAACCCGTTGGTAATTACAAAAAAATGGAACTAAATCAAAGTATATACACCAACTACAAAATTCCAACAACATACCTGTCGAAGATTCAAACCACATCTTCACGGCCGAATGTTGACTCTCAACTCTGCAAGTGCTCGTGTTACCGAGGTGCAGAACCTGGTTCGTCCAGAATGTCACAAATTTGGTCTTATGACAAAGCCAGGTTCTCTCGACATAACTAATCACATTTGGGAAACTTGCCCACCGAGTTTTCATTCTATCTACAGCTGAGTTATAATCCGCCTCGGTCGCAGCATCCATGATACGTTTCCAAGGACCGTTTTTGAATTGCCCCCCAATCTTCTTGTTCTTGAACATATTAGTGACCCGAGCCTCCACATCTTTGTTAATGTGCCATCGACAAAGCAAATGCGGTCCCGGGAAACTCTTCTCTCAATGCCGCACAAAGGCCAAGCTCACGATTTGTCAGAAATACCGACGGCTCCTTATCATACCCAATCAACTCTCTTAATCTCTGTAGAACCCACCGGTAGCTTCCCGTGCATTCGTTGCGCATGAACACATAACCGACGAGGAAATTCTGATTTGTCGGTGTCACACCAACTATCTCAAAGAACGGCATCCCGTATCGGTTGGTCTTGTATGTCGAATCCATGCCGATCACATACGGGTACGTCCGTAGTATGTTCACCGTGATCGGGTGCACCATAAACGCATGCTGCAGAACGCCGACATCATCAGACATGACCCAGTAAATATACTGGCTCTGTCTCGCCAAATGCAGAAATTATTGAACAACTCCTCTCCCATCAGACATCTCCGCTCTCAAGTCATTCCGGGAGTTGTAGATATGTCGGATGTTTGGATGATCATCGAGAAATTGCTCTGCAATAGTCGCCATGATGTTACGCGGTGCAACCTTGGACTTTGTCATGTCCTGCACAACCTTCTTCGCATCCGGGCTCAAGCCACTAATCTTACGATGACCCTCCGGATAGACAATCATTGGATGGTTATGGGTCCCAGTTGCATCATTTTTGGCCCGGATCTTCTAACTGTCGGTGACGAAGACATAATAAATCTTGATGTAGAAAGGACAACCAATTGCTTTGGTTTTGGTGTCCCTCCTAATTGCATTCTCAAGATCTCTCGGCTGGCTCTTTCGGCCCCTATCACACCTCAAATACCGGTACGGCCGACCGTCTCTGGTTTTGTTGTAAGACGATTTAACCAAAAGAAAACCCAGATTTACGGCAACAACATCCGCCCAATTAACTGCATTATCAAACGTTGGAAACAACGTGTCTGTGACAAAATGCGCACTATAATTCACATCGTCGGCACCATCTTCGTACTCCGAACCCTATAAAAAATAATGATGACACACATAAAACACAAACACTTTACTTCTAATTCTAATATAGACAATAATCATAACAATACTAAAAATAATATTAACAATAATCATAACAATACTAAAAACAACATTAACAATAATCATAACAATACTAAAAATAATATAAACAATAATATAAATAATCATAACAATAATAAAAAAAAATTATCGAAACAATAATAAAATTAATCATAATAATAATACAATTAATCATAACGATAATAAAAATAATAATAATAAACACAATAATAACAACAATAACAATAATACTAATAACCAATAACACACAAAAAATTAAAAAAAAATAATAATAACCATAATGATAATAATAATAACCATAATAATAATAGCAACACTATTAATAATAAAATA